TAGATTTTTAAAATATACTATTCATGTTATTGTTAGAACGGATAATGATCTTTGCTTGACTATATGGTTTTCTCTGAAATCACAGGGACTTTCCTCTTGTAAGGCACAAATGAGCCCAGAAACTCGAGTTCAAAAAATGAGGCAAAAACATTTTAAAAAGCAGCGCTGATTTATTTTATCCTGTGACACAGTGCAGTTCGAGTTGCAAAAGCTGTTTGTTGCTCCTCAATACTTGCAGCCTTTATGTACATATCACAGTTTACAAAGTAAGGGGTAATGGGCGTGGATCAGGAAATCTGCTAATGAGGAAGATCTTGGTTTTCCTTAGCAGAGAACAAAGAAGTCTAGCAGTAATTAACAATCTTTTGTCAGCTTATTCTAGCACCACATCTGTTATTTGTAGAGGGCAACACTGGTTAGCATAACAATTAGGGAGGGTTCCCAGGGATTTACAATTCTTTACAGAGGAAATCATTGATTAACATATCAATTAGGTCATGGGGTGGGGGGGGGACACATATAGAACAATATGGCTGCATTACAGGTATTTTAGTATAATACAAATATAATGAAGCTCTTTTTGCTACTGTGCAGTATCCTCTCCTTAGTGACCCTCTTTTTTGAAAGATGCACTTTAGTTGACTCCTGTTAGGTCTGAGAAGAGGGGAGAGGGGAAGGAAGGAGTGGGGAAGGAAGGAAGGAAGGAAGGAGGACTGGAAGGAGTGGAGTGGAGTGGAGTGGACGGCCGTGGAAGGAGTGGGCGGCAGTGGCTGCAAAGATAAGAAGTATAAAATATAAGTAACCTTTATTTTGGGAATGCGGGGAGAGACCCCCCCCCAGCCCCCAGGGCGCAGCATCTCCACCCCAGGGCCGGCAGTCTCTCTCTGGAACACACTCTGTTGAACACCTGGAGTGAGGCCCATAAGTAGCCTCTGTCTGGGGTGGACCCTAAGGGGCATTAGGTATTCACAGGTAGCCCATTGGCACACGTTTGGCGCCAGAGGTAGGTTACTAAGCGCAGGGGTATAGGGTTACAGGTAAATCTCTAAGGGGCGGGGGAGGCAGGAGCTCTTTAATTTGGCTGAGGCTTCTCCTGGTTAAAGTGTCCGGTCTGGGCCAGCAACCCTGACCACGTCGTTGCCATCCCGCCCCTCTGCGATGCCGGATGTGAGCTGCAGTTGCCATCCATCCATGACACCAGGCGTCACTTCTGGCCACTACTACGGGCCTCCAAGCCCCACCCCCTTACATGGTCACAGCTAAAATACGTCATTTCCCTGCGCTGCTTAGCGCGTCATAGTAAGCGTCTGGGTGGGACCTCAGCCGCCCCGCCTACTGTGTCCCACCGTTTGCCCTGCCCATGCTGCATGTTCCTTGCAAGCCCGCCCCTCCATGGCACAGGGCACACAGCCTGCCACTGCCGCCCCATGGTGCCGGACACGTGCCAGCTGCGTGCCACAGCCGCCATAGTTCCATGGGGCCAGGCACCACCTCTGATCACCACTGCAGGCCTCCAAGCCCCACCCTCTTATGCAGTCGCAGCTCCCTGTGCCCTCTTAGCGCATCACAGTAAGCCTCTGGGTGGGACCTCAGCCTGCCCCACCTACCGTGTCCCGGCGTTCGCCCCGCCCACTCTGCATGTTCCATGTCAGCCCCCCCTGCCTGCTGTGTGGTGGTGCTCATCCCGCCCCAGGCACAACTCTGCTCTCTTCCTACAGGTGCTATCTCAGCATCTCAAGCTGCCTTAAACAGTGCGTGTTTCCAAAGTCTCACGGCCCCGCCCAAATTTTTTTTTTACAATTCAGTTCCCCTCAAGAGAGGCTATTTTTTTCTTACAATTTTTCTACCATTTATTCACTATTACTGGCCACCTGATAATTTTACCAGCCTGCCTGCCTTATAATCTTAAATGCCATATTAAGCTCCTACATACTTACTAATTCTACAGATAACTTTTGCTACAGTCCAGATCTCAAACAACAAGGCAAAATTTGACCTTCAACCTCCACAGAGACCTTGCTATGGTTGTTCCTATTTTAAATAACACTTACAATTCTGAGACAGACAAATCTACACAAGGTGAAGCTACCTACCCCCCCCCCCCCGCCATGGGCCACACTCAAATTCATCAGAAGACATCAGACAAAATCCCCCATCCTGGCATTCTTCGAGACCTTACTCCAGGGCTGTTTAGGCTATCCTGGCCACCAGAGAGTGGCCTGTCCATCCTACCTTGTAGCCCTCACAGATCACTGCCAAAAGACCTTATTACAGGGCTGTTGGGTTATCCTGGCCACCAGAGAGTGGCCTGGCCACCCTAACTGGTAGCCCTCACAGGTCACTGCCAAAAGACCTTATTCCAGGGCTGTTGGGTTATCCTTGCCACCAGAGAGTGGCCTGGCCACCCTAACTGGTAACCCTCACAGGTCACAGGGGCCAACCGCCTTGTTAGATATCTGTCTCAGAATCTAAATCACATTAAAACCTCAAGGTAAGACATTCTCTATATTCGTGGACATCAGAGACCACATATACAGAGTTCTTACTGAGTTGTTAGGCTAATAAATCCTCAATGTCTCATGGAGTATTAAAGGTCAACCTATGCCAGTTACAAACAGGGCCTATCTTTATACAGGTCCCAGTCCTAAATCTTAAAATGCTTTTATTCCCTTTTAAACTGCCATCCTGGTTTCACATCACTCAGGCCCTAGATCTAACCATCCTTTTGATACTCATCTCTGCCTTACGACTCACAGGTTGTCATGTTTTGTTGTCCAGTTTGATTCTTAATTTATTACATTCTATTAATGATCATTTCTATAGCAGGACTCTCTAACAGGATTTCCTACAGACTCCAATGTCATATATACCAGAGACAAACCTTACCTACCTACCTTTTAACTTTTATGCTTTCAAATGGGGGAGTAAGCACCTCTCATAACTTCACTCCTCCTAATCCCACGTTTAATTTTTCAGAGTTCTGCTTTGCAAACCTCAATGTCATCCTGATAGAATAACAGGTCTAAATCAAAGACACCTTTTGCTCTACCTCACTTGGGTCCATAAATATGACAGTGCCATGTCTCCTCATAATATCTTGTTTCTTTGTTTTTTTCCAGTCTAACATACGTGCATTCACCAGTGAAGTTGTCCTGGCTAAAACACCTAACATCAGCGTCTACCTGGGCATCAACCTTCATCCCGTCAACTCCCCTAGACTCCAATACAGCACCCTCAGCCAGCAGGAAGTAGTTACAGAGAGAAATCTTCGCCCCTTTTCCTAATAATCATAAGGCGGGATATGAAAGAGTTGCTGGCTCAGACCGGACACTTTAACCAGGAGAAGCCTCAGCCAAATTAAGGAGCTCCTGCCTCCCCCACCCCTTAGAGATTTACCTGTAACCCTATACCCCCATCCCTAAGAACCTGCCTCTGGCGCCAAACGTGTGCCAATGGGCTGCCTGTGCATCCCTAATGCCCCTTGGGGTCCACCCCAGACAGAGGCTACTTATGGGCCTCACTCCACGTGTTAGAGAGTGTTCCAGAGAGAGACCACTGGCCCCGGGGTGGAGATGCTGTGCCCTGGGGGTCGGGGGGTCTCTCCCTGCATTCCCAGAATAAAGGTTAGTTATATTTTACATTTCTTATCTTTGCAGCCACAGCCGTCCACTCTTTCCATTCCACTCCTTTCCCTTCTTCCTCTACTCTTCTCAGACCTAACACTAACCCCTGGCATCCAAGAATTATTCTCAGGTGCTTGGGAGAATCATTGAAGGTGTAGTATTATTTTTGAGGGGTCCCTTCATGATGCAGAGGTTGGTTGACCTTGAAGGGAAAAGTCCAAAATATTGGTTGTCCTCTAAACCTTTTACTTTTTTAAAACTTTAATCTCTAAGTTCCAGTTGTTAAGTACTCAGAAGGCCAGCTATATCAGTCTTGAAGTAGGAGCATTAGTTCTTAATTCTAAGTAATATGATCCTTTCTGAATATCGGGAACTTTGAAATACAAAGTATGACTCTAGATTGACACCGTATCTATCTGAGGCTTCTCCTTGCCCTGGCATGTGGGCCAGTTTTGGAATCTGAGAATCCCACTTCCTCTGTCAGTGAGGCTGGGGGAGCAGGATGAAGGCTGGCCCTGGAAGGAGTCAGTGCACAAGACTGCATGCACTGCAACTGTGGGAGAGGCAGACACATCTGCTAGGGCCAGACCTCAGGACAAAGATGAAAAGGAATGCCCCCACATACTTCCCCTAAGGACAAACAACAGTGACTGATATTCTAAATCTGTATTCATTACCTCAGGAAAAACAGCCTCCCACACAACCCCTCCATGAAAAGCCCCTATTATGTTTCTGCCTCCTTGGTACAAAAGACTTGTTTCTCCATTTGAACCTCTTGAAGCCAAATTACCTATGCAATTCTGCCTATAGTCTTATTGGTTGACCATTGTTTTCTTCCAACTCATATTCACCTTGTGATTACTCATTTTTCCCCATGTTGGACCTGCTTCACTTCATGGTTTTGCTCTATAAAAATCCTGAGACAAGGCAGGGTCTTCAGCAACTCACTCAGAACCCCTTCTGTCTATCTCTCAGGCAGAAGGTTTCTTTCCCAATAAACATTTTTTCTGCTCTTAATCTCCATTGTTCCTGGAAATCATTCTTTTATTTTAGAGAACATGAACTCATAGCAAACACCTAGCTGTTGGGGAGTTTCTTTCTCCTATATTGATGTTGGCAAATGGGACCCCCACTGGACATTGAAGAGAGGTGACTGAGATGGCCAGGCCACCTGGAAGAACCAGGTGAGGTTAATGGGCCTGAATTTAAAGTGAGATGTCTCAGTATGCTTGTCAGTTTTTCTCCAGCAATATTCTACTGTTATTGCGCAAATGAAGATGTAGAAGAGTGTCGAGTCCTGCTTTTTTTCTTACATACTCTATGTATATTTTGTTCACTTGTGATATCAGCTAGGTCTAGAAAAAAGACAGACAAGACTTGTATTGCATACTTTTTATTGCTAATGCTATTTTTTTTACAATGTATGTAACCCTGTGGTTAGTTAGTACTGCAAGCTCATGAGGTTTAGCTTTAGTTGAAATGTATGCTTCTAAGGTAGGGAAGAGCAATAGCTCATTTAATCCGTCTTTAATGCCTTCATCATGCAAGATCCATGTACAAATTCTTTCACGGTAGAGCAAATTGATGTATAAAGTGTGAGTGTACTTTTAAAGCTGTATGTATGCAGCATTTTTCAGAAAATACTTGTACCAAAGGTCACAGCCTTTATGAACACCAAATTCTTAATTCAGACAGTCTCTAGTTCTAGCACTTTGGCATTCTGCTCCTTAAAATGTTTTATATTGTTCAGTGAAGAGTTGTTAAATTGTTTAAAGAATTGGCTGAAGAGATAAGGCTTCAGATGCCTACACAGCTAATGTTTCACTGAGATCCATTTGTTTTAGGATGTTCTTTTGCTCTGTTTGAAAAATGTATGATTGGCAAATAATGGTACCATTCCAGATTAATTCTTAATTGCCGAAGAGCTGAATGTACTGGAGATGTCTTTGAGAATCAAGAATTTAGGCTGAGTTCACCAGCATTATTTCTATGTGCTACTGAAAATTGTAGAGTTAATAGTGAGTAATGAACATATGGGTGAACCTAAGGCTTTCAAGAAAAAGTAACTTGTTCAGCTTCTTTGATTGGTATTTGTAGGTGAAAGAAGGTAAGTGTGATCTTTCCCTTAGCTACTTCTCCCTTCATTTGTAAAAGAAGCAAAATGAGCTGCAAAATGAAAATTCTGCTTTTATACTCCACAGCCGCTAACATACTGAGAAACATCTCGATTTTCACAGTGATTTCTCCATCCCATCCTGTAATGAAAAATGAAACAGTGACAAAGTTTTAAAACATGTCTTCACTGAAATATACATTTCAAATACTTCAGGATAATAATATATTTTGTCAATAAGTAGAATATACACCATAGCTAGAGCTTATTATTGCTATTTATTAACCAAAATTAATATACTTTGTTCTTCCCCAAATCCTTAGTAGAGCACAGAATGCTGAAAAGTAATATTGCATTATGTTTATTGCACATTTATTTATTCTATGAATAATTTCAAAATATGAGGAACTACTGTAGTGTGTAGAAACTTAAAAACGTTAGAAATCCCCTGAAATAAATGGTGTATTTGAAGAGGAAGTCTCTAAGTTAAAGTAGACTGTTTCTTGACAGATGGAGGAGAAATGTTTTCATGTAAGTTAAAAACTGTAATTTTGAACTCCTGCATAATACTTTTGGTCTTGTAGGTCTTCTCTCATTGCATATATTATCAGGGAGATAAAGCTTTTCCCATTTAATTCTTAATACATACCATGCTCTGATGCCTTGTGGATCCCTGACCACCCTCTTTGCACAAGCCACAGCTTGGGCGATGTTATCTTCCAACAAGACTGAAAGAGAGATGATGAGGAATGAGGACTGTCATTGGAACTTCACTTTAAGTTGGATTAATCCAAATGAGTAAAAAAGCCTTCATTCATCACATTTGGCATGAAATAAAGCATTCTGCTTCTCATGAGCTAATATCATATAAAGCCCTGGAATTTCTAGCTAATATCAACAAATGCCCTTTATGTTCTCCACACTGTAAAAATCAAATTGCCTACTTATTATTTGTCCAGTTCTCCTGATAATTAATCCTAAATAAATAAGAAATGCATATGTACGTATGCACAATGGTGTCCATAGCAATTTATAAAAGGAAAAATGTAGACAAGTGCTTAATATTTAAGAGTTAGATAAATGAATTTTAGTATTCACATAATAAATCTATTCACCTTCTTTAAAAGCTATTACAAATTTGTATTTGTTAATATCAAATAATTTTGTTTGATAAGTGAACAGTAAAGAAATATATATAATAAAATTTTTGTAAAACTACAAATCAGTTACATATTTGTAGATCCATGTAGGCATGATATAACCTTACTTCAATGTACATGCTTGCTATAGAATTATTATTATTGGGGTTTTTGTTTTTTTTAAAATAATGTCTCACAGCATGGTTCAGGGTGGCCTTGGGCTCACTTTGCAACCCAGGTTGGTCTTGAACTTGCAACAATTCTCCTGTCTCACCCTCCTTAATCCTGGGATCATGGGAGTGCACCACCACATCCAGCTTAAAATTATTAATATGTCTTCATTAATTAATACTGTAAAAAAATGCTTAGTAAAGTTTTTCTCAACAATTCTACTACTGATAATTTGTCCTAAAAAAATAGCAAGAAACATATGCAAATATGTTTGCACAATGTTATTCATAGCAATTTATAAAAGGGGAAAATGGAAACAAACTAAATACTCATTAGTATAGTTTGGTCAAAAATTATAATATTCATATAGTATGATTCTATTTACCCTCTTTCTTGATAACACAGATTAGTACTTGTTGATATGGAAACAATTTTCTGTGATAAGTGAACTGTAAAGCAGTGTATATAATAAAATTTAATTTCTGTAAAAACATAGTTTACCCATTTGTATATGGGTCCATTTGGGCATGATATAATGTCACTTGTGTAAACATGGTTGATACATTCTGCCAGAATATATACCAAAAGTTATCAGTGGATATAAATCTCTGCATAGTATGGTTTTGGTTGCTGTTTTTTTTTTTTTTTGTATTCAAAAGTAAATCAACTGGACTAAAAAATTTCAAAATTTTTCTTGTCCCTTGGGAATATGAACATTTAAATAATTAACTCTTCTTGATTTGATGGTTTGTGTTGAGAAGTCTGCTGTAATCCTGATGGGCTTTCCCTTATAAGTAATCTGTTTTTTGTCTCTGAAAGCTTTTAATATTCTGTTCTTATATTAGATTTCTGGGATCTTAATTATTATATGCCTGGGTGTAGTTCTGTTTTGGTTGTAGGTGGAGTTCTGTATTACTCATACATCTGAATATCATTTCCTTTTCTACATATGGGAAGTTTTCCTTAATTATTTCTGTGAATAGCCTTTGTAGTTCCTTTGTTTGTACCCCTGATTCTTCATTTACATTCTTTATTCTTAAGTTATAGATCTTCTTGTCATATTCTAGCCTTTGTATTGTTACTGCTTGTTTCCTTGTTATTTTTAAGAAATTTTTCCTTTCATGACCCCACATTGCAAACCTGCCCTCCAGTTTGGATAATCTATCCTTAGTTTCTTTCAAGCAGTTTTGCCAGCTTTCAATGGAGTTTTTAATTTCCTGTTAATCTCTTTGAACCTGCTTCATGTACTCTATGTTTTCTTTATATTTTTCATCAAATGATTCTCCTCTTTTCTTGTGTTCCTCCATTCTTCCATCTGTGTCTTCTTGAGAGGTGCTTAGCATTTCTTTTATTAATCTATTTATATCTTGCTTTACTTGGCTAAATATTTCCCTGTTGAACTCATCTATGAGGTCCTGAAGATATCTCTTTATGTCCATTAGTGCTGTGCCTGATGTTGTATGTTTTTGCTGTCCTCAATCTTCTTTGTATTTACCTTTCCTGGATCAATGTTCTTCAGGTTGGGGGCTGAGGACTTTTTCTTTTTGCTTCCTCTTCTCATATTTTTTGTTTCTTCCATACAGGTGTGTATAGAAAGCCCGTTTCTTTCTTTGTTGGTTATCTGTAATTTCTATTTTAATACTCATGTCTGTGTCATGTAATAAATTCTGTGTGTTCCTTTGTTATAAGATAAAGTGAGTTTCATTGCAAATGAATAAATCCAGAAGTTATTCTTTATGTGTGAATGTGATTATCTGGAAAGTAATTTTTTTGGAAAATAATTTTTTTAGAGATACAAATGCATTTATAAATAAAATATCATGTAGTTACTAATACACACCAAAACCTTTTGACAAATATATACTGTTAAAATCTTACCTGTAATTATTGCTAAAAGTGCATAGGTATCCAATGATATCTAGTATTCTATTTATAGCATTTGTCAAGAGAAGATAAAACAATCAATAAAGGACCATAAAGCCAAACTTCCTTTGACTATCTGTAAATAAATAGGGATATGGCATCATTCTGGACTTCAAATAAATAATTCCAGAAATATTTGAACATTTAAAAATGTCTCTTTATTTTTACTTATTTTTAATTTTTATTTTTGTCATGATGAGGATGGAATCCTGGGACTTCCGTTCATGTTAAGTAAGAACTCTACTATTCAGCACTAATTTCTCACTTAGGGAAATCTGAAGGAGATGAAGCCACTTTCTTGTAGTTAGGGTGGAGTTTCCCTAAGATAACTGATGAATCCTTCATGGGTATATTATTGCCATTGCCTCTATTCTCTGTAACCAGATAGGCCCCGGTCAACACCACAATACCCTCTTGTCTTACCACTGCAGGATATATGACAGGCATCAACTGCATCTGGGGTTTTGCCATTGTTGCACCAGTATCGACTATTGATCTGGAATATCCCATAATCAGTGCTTTCATCTCCAGGGTTGTAGTTTGTAGCTTTTGTATTATAATCACTCTCCCATTTGATCAAACACATCCCTGGAAAGAAATTATTTTTTTGTAATAAAGAGTAATACTGAAAGATTTATACCATATCCCCACACTGCTTCTATTCAGCTAATTCTAATTTATGAAGCTGTACTTAAAAAATACCTCACCACTTTAGTTTTTTGTTGTTGTTGAGACTGGTTCTTGGTATGTTTTCCATGTGGCCTCTTAGGTTAACATTACCATCTAGCTTCAGGCTCCTGCATAATTGGAGCTATGGATGCCAGTTACCCTGCCCAACCCAACACTATAATTTAAAGGCCCCAGAAGAGAATCATTTTGCAGTGGGAAACAATTTGTAATACTGACAAAGCAAGGGAAAATACTTTTTTAAAAATTTAAAATGGTTGTTTCTCCCAACGCTTTTACTCTTCCTCTGAGCTCATTCTTCTGCCAACATTCAGTTTAGAATAGAAAAGCCAGCAAAGTTGTTGAGTATATTTAGTAAATTTATAGTAGATACAAATGTGATGGAAAATGCATTCTGTGTGTGTGTATGTGTGTGTGTATGTGTGTGCATGTGCACGTGCACTGGGGATGTATAGCAGGTACGTTCTGTAGCACTAATCTATTTGCTATTTATTTATTGTGCTGGGGATCTAACCCAGGGCCTTCTGCATGAAAGGCAAAGAGCTGTACCACTGAGCCACATCCCCAACCCACCTTTTTAATTTTATTTTGATGCAAGGTCTTGCTATGAAACCCAGGCTGGTCCTGAACTTGCAAGCCTCTTTCTCAGTTTCTCTAGTAGCTGAAATTATAGGCTTGTGCTACACAACCAAGCAGAAAAATGCTTTTTATTAGGAAAAGTAAGGGTTCCCTGGAGCAGGACAAATTTGCCTATAATACCTAAGGTGAATTTGTATGTCAGATTAGAATCTTGCCACAAGGATTAAAAAATAGGAAAGATTATTCTGTAATTTTATTCATGCATTTATTCATCTATTTACTTGCCCTTCCAAAATAGTTATTGAGAGGGAAACATTTGACTTCAACCTCAAAGATCAATTATTTATACTAACAAATATGAAGTAAGTTATAAAGTAAAATTTCTCCTTGGCACATCCTAAATTACATAGAAGAAAATGAAAATTAGTCAACCTTGAATAAATAAGAACAGACCATTTCTTGACGAATTTCAGAGAACCATGTATCAGTGACTGAAGGAGGAAAAGGCTGCTACTCTCCATTTTTGAGTCAATGTACTTTTTAAAAATATTTTTGAGATATGGTCTTGCTTTGTGGTTCAGGCTGGCCATGAATTCACTTTGTAGACCAGGCTGGTCTTGAAGTTGCAATGATCCTCCTGCCTCTGCCTCCCAAGTGCTGGAGTTATAGGCATATACTACCATGCTTGGCTAGAGTTAACATATTTTAAAAAAATTTTTTCTCTGGAAAGTCTCATATTATATCAGGGAAATTTATGAAAAGAAAAAATACTGTGTTACTCTACTACCTCAGAGTCCAAGTTCTATATAGGTCCTCAATGTCTTGTACTCAGCCTTCTTGAGCCTTTGAATCTGAGGCAATAGGCCAATCTAGAGGGACTGGGAGAGGATAACAAGTTCCATGTGATGTAGAATGTGTAGAGTATTTCCCGTTCCCCTTGCTCCTTCATCCAGCATGTCTGTTATTAAAGGGCTGAACTGACGCTTTAACGATTGTAAATATTCAAACCCACAAAGAAATAACAGTGTCTAGCACAAAAATGCCCTGCTACCATTTATTTTTATTACCTCTTCCATATGTGGCTAATGATTGGGAGGTTAGCAGGAGAGAAGACTTACAGTTTGCCAGGCTGACTCCATGGTAGCCATCCATTCCAAGACGCTTTAAAGTTCTAGCCAACTCACACCTCTCATAGACCTTGCCCTGGACAGTCACAGACAGGACGAGAAGCCCCAGAAGGAGGAGAGCCTTCATGTTGACTGGGAAGTCAGACCTCTGGGCTCCTATGTAAGCCAGTACTGGTATTTAATGTCCCTGGACTTCCTTCTTCCTTCTTTGGTAGGCTTAGCCTTTGACCTTTGGGCAAAGCAGAAAGTACCCATTGGTCCACAAACTTCAAAAGATTTTTCTTAATATTTGAAAAGAGATATTTTGTTGTTTTGAGAATTAATCTATGGTGAATTATGGAGTGATATTCTTTGTTGACTTGGCTTACAGGGAAGTAGCACTGTTACTACAATAGGAACTTTCTTCTATGTTATTGTGAGTTTGAGCAAGTGTGGAGAAAAATACGCACATTTTGTATAGTTTTAAATCAGTTATGACTTATGACAAACATCCAGTTTCATTAATCTTTTTGTAAATTCACTTTCTTATTTATCTTCTTCACTTAAAATTGTTCTCTACACTCTTTTGCACCAAATGGGCACAAGGCAAGTGCCGTCATTTTAAAGGGTATATAGCGTGACACCTTACTTCTCATCCAGTTTCCTACCTTGGACTCTTTGTAAGCTTTATAAGTTGTTTAGCTGTACCAATCAATGTTTACTACAGCAACAACAAAAAGCTCATGTAACTTCTTTTATTAACCCCCTTTCTACCATTTCTTGTTCCTGTTTCCATGTTAGAGAATAAAACGTTATTATAAACCAGTAAGACTTTAAAAATTAGTCTACCCACACCTGTATATCCAACTGATACCTTAAAACAATCATCTCAGAAGATTGTGTACTGTCTTAGAAACAATGACGTCAAGACTGAAATAAAAAAGCAAAGAGCAAAAACAACAAACAAATAACAGAAAACATGCTCTGAATCTGCTTAGGAAGAAAAATCCTGAGCCACATAAAATATTAGCTGATAGTAGTTTACCTTGTTTTTCACCAATGGTAGTTTCTTTCTGCTTGGCCATTAAAGATTATCAGCTCTGGCTCTCAATTGCTGTTGGGGACTTTGTCAAGAATAACACAATTTTTTTCAGAACTAATCTCATTTCAGTTGTTTAGTAGTGTACAGAGCCAAATTTGGGTATGCCAAAGAGACAGAAATCTGCTAAAAAGTTAGTGTTTGATCTCTTGTGTATTTTTCTGATCTCAACCTGGAAGAACATCTAGTTAGTATGTATTAGGGTTTTAGTCCTATAGTGATGAAATTGATTTTTTTCCAATGTTTGAACAGTATGGAGATATGATTTCTGGGACTGGATAACCAAATATATGCTTGCCACTTAGAGCCAATTGATAACAATCACACTTTGTGACTACTTCAAAAGAAAAGGGTGTTTTTTACTTCTTTAGTTATAATCCATGGGGCAGGAATTATAGGTAGTGATAACATTCAGTTATTGTGATAGGTAAACTTAATTGTTAACTTGACTGGTTAACAGCCAGCAAGGGGATTAGTAAGTCAGTCTTCTAGATATGCCTGGGTGGGTGTTGGAGGGCTGGGGCATGTCTATCTCTGGTTCCTTCCCCTTCTTTTCTGGTGCTGCTCCTTTGCTCTGCTTCCAGCTGCCATACACTGTGCAGCATAGTTGCAACATGATTTTCTACCATGATGGTCCTGTTTTGGAGCCACTTAATCATGGACTGAATCATCAGAAACTGTGAGCAAAAACCCCCTCATCCTGTTAGCTGTGTCAGCAACAGGAAAGCTAACCAATACGGATATAGTTTTAGTATTTCATTTGAAACAATGAAGAAGCCATTTAAAGATAAAATATCAAATAGGTATGATTTGGGATGCAGTTTATTTTTCCCAGAAATTTTGTATATGCTCTATGTTGTATTCATTGCCACATGTATATTTTTGCTTTGTAGGAAAGATGCTTAGAGATCTTAGAGTTTTTTGTAGTTTTTTTGGCATTAATTTGTTAATTATTTGCAATTCCTAGTTTATTTAGGTTATTTACTTCTCAAATAGGGAAAGAGTAATTAATTATGGTGAGTGTTACAGGACTCATGCTTCACAAAGGCAATTTGACCAACGATCTCTCTGACTTCTAAGTATTCTTGCCAATTGAAACCATCCAATAAACAACTACTTTGAAGATAACAATATGCAAAATGTTAACTATCATTGATTTTTGATTATTTTGTTTTGAAATTCTGTGTCATTTTCATTTTTGTTGTTTTTTAAAGAAAAGATTAAAAATTAGAAATCAGAAAAAAAGGCATTTATGAAAGTCTGAGGAACATTTATGGAGTCAGTTTTAGAGATGGTGAGTTGGAGTCATAGATCTATCTTTGCTTCCCTCAAATCCTAGTAAAATACCCACAGAATTTTGAAAGGTGTCAGTGAAGCTGGCACACACCTGTAGTTCTAGATACTGGGAGAATGACTTGAGATCTCTGTGCACATATAGTCCAGATCAGCCTGACCCATAGCAGCAAAAAAACACAACACAACACAACACAAAGCAGAAAGTAAAAAGGAACAAGGGTAGTAGAAAAGCAAAGAAATGGCAATACTGAAAAATATCTATGTAAGTTGATCAAAGGTGGATGAGTGGTACTTTTGGAAGATGGGAAAGCTTTCACCAAAGGACTTTTATGGGGGAAATCACTGAAAAATCAAACTGGTTCTTTGCCTAGGACCTGGAGAGATCTAAGGAACTCTCAAGGCAGCAAATTATAGCAGTGCTTTGAAGGAGAAGACTGCTTGGATTCTGTATGTGGAGCAGTTGAACTCTAAAATCTTTTCCCCCAGGTCAGGAGAGCCAGCCTATGACCTTTCTCAGGCTCAGAGAAAGATGGTGGGAAAAATCACTGCTTGGAGAGTTGAACAAGAGATTCTGAAAATGAGACACAAAACCCCTTAAATGATTGGAGACATGGGGTAGAGATTTTGCTTAGCAGTGAGCTGGTTGGATTTGATTTAAGAACTACAAAAATATAACAATAAAATTTTTAAAGAGTGAAAGGCACATGGCTGGCCTACAGAGATGAACACCTATTAAATTGAATTAGAGATAATAAGGAAATTGAGTTAGAAATAATAAGGAAATTTCATACATGAAATTCATATATGAAATGAAGGACTCTAACACACATCTGTAGTCATGGGTCTTATTTTAACCACAGAACCCAAATTTCTCAAAAGAAAGTCTCAGTGATTCATTTTCCTGGATTCATTCAGTTACCTAACAAAATCTAAGCAAAAAGACCACGAGGTACAAGCAAATTTGAGACAATAGTACACATGGAAGGGAGGGATAGCCAGGGAAGATAGTGAGGAACACTTCAGCCTTTAAAAAGTCTCTTTTAGCCATGGTACTGCAGGAGGCTGAGGGTGGGTTTCTAGTGTTTAGGTACTGTGAGTAGTGTGAGCAAAAGCACTGTTTTAGATGCATCATGCTGCCACGATCCCATCACCTGCCAAAAGCCCAGCCTTGAGCCATGAGGCTTTGAGGAGGCACCCAAATGCAACTGAAGCTATCAGGGAGCTGAAGGACAGGGCTGCATGTGGAGGAATCACCAAAAACAGTGTTAAATGTAAGAATATTTTCTTTAAAAAGCTATTTACAGTTCAGATATTTATAGAGGTATTTTTAAAGTTTAAAAATACTTTTGTGAAAGGCATCCTGGCTTTTAAAGTGTTAAATTGTTTTTGATGCCCTTCTTTTTATTTCTTTTTTTTACAGTCATAAGGAAGTTTATTAAGCAGAATTTGAAGTACACACTCAAAGAAATAGAGTAAAGGTCTGTAAGAGAAAGATGCAGTCTATTCTGGAGATGAGGCTTTGTATGTATGAGAGGTGGACATGTAGGGAATTTGTGAATCTGTAGGAAGTTGTATCTATAGAAAGTTGTTTTATGAGGAAAAAGAATGGCTGCAGAGAAATCATGACCCACTTTATAGGTGAAAAAAATGAGCCTAGTCTATTTTTGAAAAGATGGGTCATTTAAAATGTTTTCCCATAAAGTTATTTGAATTCTCTGAGTCTGTTCCCTTAAGATCAGCTTCTTGATCCTTATCAACTAAGCTAATTCATGGATGTAAAGAATCTTTAAGGGATTTTGGATGTGATGGACCTGGAAGAAAAGAAGTATAACCAAATCCAGGGAATATAGATATGGATAACCTTGTGTAACTTCATGTCCAAAGGTTGTAGTCCTCTTAAAAGTACTAATTTTTTAAATTATTGCTTTCTTTACCTCCTTTCTGCATATCTTTATATTTTTTCTACCCTACTTCACTTTCTTCAGGTCTTTGATCCATAATAATCAAGGGATGCAGAGGGCCCAAAGTTCCACCGTCCTATGGCTGCCTCAGGCTGAGAGGGGACAGTGGTCCTACACAGCCAGGAATCAACCTCACCTTGATTGATCTAAAGAAAACAAAGGAAAATATGTTTCATTTGATGAGCCACCATCCTTTGATGGTCTGGAAAAGAGGACAAGAAAGTTAGCAAGCCACTGACTTCTAAACTTCATTTTATAGCTATGTTAAACAAGCAAGGGCTCCAAATTAAAGCAGAATACTGGTGAATGGTGGCTCCAAAACATGGTAGAAGTCAGACAAATTTAGGAAGCATTTGGCCTAAGTTTCTTACCTTTAACATTAATCTATTTGTTTTCAAATATTTACCCAAGTACAAAGATGGAGTTTAAGAGTATTAAGTCTCCTTCCTGTTTTGTCAGTAAGAAATTTTATTATTTTAATTATAACAATGACCACTGAATAGATCAAATAAAGATATCTATGTTTTTGTGACCATTGGGCCATTAAGATTCTTATATAGAGCTCAGAATCCAGCATTTGGCCTCTGTTTTGTAGACCGGAAGACCTTTTGTAGTGATGGTTACAAATAAGAGACATATCAAATCTGAAGTAGATAACAGAAAGTTAATTTATACCACAAAGTTAACAAAGTTTAGTAGCTAGAATATTTATATTGGCAGTTTTATTTTACAGGTACATCTATGGAAGAAGCCAAAGTAGCTAAAGGGTACTTGAAAGTTCACCAAATACTATATTGCTAA